TTTCACGTGTTGTCCGTGTTGTTTCCATATTTTCTTAAATACATACATTTATTCCTAGCTCTCGATTACTCAAGATCCACTCTTTCATTATCTATAATATAGTAACACTATACATTGTTTAGGTGGCTGTTTCTCCGGAAAGAACGGAATTCCGTGCTGCGGCGCGAGGAGTTAATAAATAGTAATTCGACGTTGATCCCGCGAGAAAGGGTTGCCTACCGTTAGCTCTATAAAATGGGAGTGCCATGCATCCGAAGTGCCTAATTCGAGTAGACTGTCTTGCATTCTAAGCAGCTGATTTGAATTTCGGCAGCCTATCTCCTGCCGCGATCAAATACTCTATTATTATATCGTGGCCAGTTGACTAGTGGTTCGAAACTGAGGCTCTAGGAATAGCAAAGTTCTATTAGCTCTAGAACAAGGCTGGTACTCTAGGAAATTAGATGTTATTACTAGATTTACGACACGAACCTTCCCATTTGCATTCGTAGACTCGCGAGTTTATCGACAAAGCTGCAATCTCGCGGAGGAATCAACCCCTTAGACTCTAGATTATTTTCGAAATCCTTCAAACTGTTCCACCCTACACAGGAAAGAGTTCCGAGTAAATCAAAGTACCCGAATGAATCACGTTTAACCCTTTGTCCGAAGTGTTCTTGGTTTCTCACTTCGAGATTCACATCGACGTTAGTATTCGATTATAGCTTAATACCACGCTCTATTTATTTACTCAAGAATATTTAGGAGTAATTGAAATGTCACCTTCAAATGGCACGATTGTGATACTACAAATAAATGTAAAAATTGTTGAAACAAGTAGAGGTCGCAATAAAATTGAATGTCTAAGGGTTAATCCGTATCCTCATCTCGACGAAGCTAACGCGCTGAAGTATCCTCAACAGATGGAAGATTAAACAATCTGTCAGAATTGCGTGCACAGTCCGCTGAATCCCATTTTCCGCTCGAACCGCGATCCTCCTAAAACATCTGGGTATCGGCTCGTAAATAATGCGGGGAGCCGTCATTCGCTATCACAATGTCCCAGGAAAGGTATCCCGGGACATAAATTCAGAAGACGCTGGGAATCGCATTATCCCGATGGAAGTGGATCCGTTCACCGTTCGAACGGTCCCGGAACGGTTTCGAGGGTCCTCCTGGCCGACGGCCAGAATTCGCCGTTCCGCCGGACACGCGGCCGCCGCCGGGCCGGCACAGCACGCATTTTACAACCGCTGGAACAACACCAGTCATCGGGCCGCGATAATTCACGCGCCGCAGTCCACAGACAAAACGGCCGTCGCGTGCATCCCCTCGTCCATCACTCCGAGTGCCGAGGATTCTCGAAAATTTCGCCGGCCGACCCTCTCCGTCGACGTTTACTAACGGCACGGCGACGCGCTGCAACCATCCACGTCACGTAATTCGTTGTCCCCAGTCACGATCCGGTGACCGATTCCCGCGGATTCCCCTGCAACGCCCGTTCAATTATTGATCGCAGATTATCCGACAGATTGCCTGACCCCCGCGATCTCCGGCAGTTTATTGGGATTGCCGGACGCCTATGTACCGACGGCTAATCAGCTAATGATGTAGAGACTGTGGGTCCTTCGAATTGTTCGAACGAACTCGTGGGTAGAATTGATAAATGCGTTTGTGTATTCGATCGTTTTCGAAGTAAAATTGTATTAGAAATTGGGATATTGACGTGCAAATTAGATTCTTCAGTGGTTGTGTAAGAGAATATTTTAGAATTAGCAATTATTCGAAAATATCATTTTCGATAGTAACACCTCGATCAACCTCCGATTGTATGGAAGAATAATTATTCTTTCTCGCGTTCATTTCCCGAAGATGTGAAAGCAACTTCAACTCTACTCAATTCGAGTAAAATTGTATTAGAAATCGGGACATTGAAGTGCAAATTAGATTCTTCAGTAGTTATGTAAAAGAACATTCTAGAATTAGCAATTATTCAAAAATAATCACTTTCGATAGTAACATCTCCATCAACCTGCGATTGTATGAAAGAATAATTATTCTTTTTCACGTTCATTTCCCGAAGATTTGAAAGCGTCAACATCAACTCCACTCAATTCGAGTACCCTTCGAAAGACGCGATAGAACCGCACGAAACATCGGCCCGAATTTCAAGATTAATTTCACTTTCCACCATCGATCAGACGTCACCTAGTTCGCGGTTTCCTCGTGCATCTCTAAAAGCGTATCAATCATTCAGAGTCGCCGGTTCCACGAACGCCGCGAGTTGCATGGGAACCACGGGGACTCGTTAAACGCTGGGCGGCACGTGTCCGTCCGTTGGCAAATCTCTCTTCGATTAACCCAGACCTTCGGCGTCGTCGTCGGTTCCATCCGACGCAAGAAAAAACCGGTGGCCGAGGGGGTGGGCTCGACGGGGCGAGTTTGAAGAGGGCAGTAGGCGGTCTGACGGTCGGAGGCAAGAGCCACGACCTAATCTGCCATAATGCAGCCCGACATGCAAATAGATATTTTTAACCTTGTCTCGAAGGCGATCGATAGTCGCGAAGGCGGCACGGAGCTCGTCTAAATAATTGCTCCTCTTCCTCCGCCCCCTCCCCCGACGTCAGACACAGAGCGTGGTTCGTGTTCTTTCGCGCGCCGCTTGCATTACAGGGGTTCGAGCGTTCCCCTCCCCCTTTTGCCGTCCGGTTTCACCGCGATCCGTTGGCCACCGAGCGTATCAAGGACGATGGACCGATGGTTTTTACCCTTTAACCCTTTGCGCTCGAAAGATTTCCACCGGAAATATTCAACATTTTCCGATGAGACAGACGACATTGTTTGAAACTAATTTAACGGTAATTCACAGATAAATCAACCCTTTGCACTTCGAAGTTTTTCACTAGAAATATTTCAACATTTTCTGATGAGATGAAGAAGATATTTCGTAAAACCAACTCGAGAAATTCACGCGAATTGATGGACAAAGCTATTTTACGTCAATATTTCTCAGATTGATGCATTATATGAAGTATATTAAATATCAAACTTTGTAGCTTCACTGTAGGAAATCAAGTGACTGAGAGTCACCTCCCGAGTGCAAAGGGTTAAGAAACAAGCTATTTTATTTATTTCACATAGCGACACAAACTTTAATTTAAAATACTAAATATTCAACTTCATAGTTATTGTATTAAATCAAGCGGTCACTGAGAGTCACCTCTCGAGTGCAAAGGGTTAAGCTGTCGCGTGATCGGTTTCTCGTTTTTCTGTAATTCCCCTGTTCGGACGGGACGGGAAATCATTCTTCTCGGTTGGCAAAGCTGCGTCGGTTATAAATACTCCCGCGGAGGAACGATAACCGTATTTCCTGGGATAAGAAGCTTTAACGATGTAGATCGGCCGCTTTCCCCGGGAGCCTTTAACGCTGTCCCTTGAAAGTTAGTGATCGATAGGACTTTTTAATGAACTCTTCTGCGCCCGGTATTGTGTAGAGTTGTATTAAGTTACGCAACGACGTGTTTTAGAATCGGATGCTAAAGGCGTCCCGACTCTTCGTTTGAATTATTCTGCGATGAAATCGTGAACGTCGCGATGATTTTTCACAGAAATCCTACTTGTTTGCTCAAGAGGAATATTTCACGGGGCGTCCCGTTTATTCTTGAGATCTCGTGTTTGAGATAAGGGCGAGTGTATCGTTTGAATCCGCCGCGTACAGCTTTCTAGCCGGGTTAACCCAGTTTAAGTAATTTTAATCCCGGAATCGAGCCGGAATCCCGAGCCTCCCGCGAGAAACTTTGTTCGGAAGTTCCTCGAGAGCGGGTCTTAACCGGAGATGAACTTTAAGACTCCTAAATTCCGGTCGTCCGCGGCTATGATTCTCGGGGGGAGAGTACATCACGCGGGAAGCTCGCCAAGTTCGCGCGAATACTTGATCCAGGGGGTCGGTCTGTTATCGTTCCGCGGATTGAATCACCGGGAAACAAATTTTTACCCAGTCCCGTGTCAAAGTGAACGTGGAATATTTGATTCGCTCGTCCCCCCGTTAATCAACGTTCGTATAATTTCAATCCCCAGGTAGGATTCACGGTAAATTAGATTGAAATGATTGGTAACGGGAGTGCATTCAGCTATTTCAAACGGGGAATTTCAATTTCGACGAAAATTTCTCGCGGCGTTAGTCCGGCTTTAATCGAATTTCATTGAATTACTTTTCGAATGGTATTTACGCTATACGGTTAATCAAATTCGCGAATGTTTAAAAATATCGACTCGGTTGGGTATTTAAAAGTTTGCTTTCCTTAACTAAATGGAACATCGTCTCATTTAATTAAGCGGCAACGAAGAACCGTGTAACGTTACGGCGATCGCGATATCCGAAGATGGTAGCGGACGTTTCGCGCGGTTGTTCGGGTTCCCTGGAACCCTGGATCCCTGCGCCCGATAATCCGCGTCGAAATAAATCCTGACCAGGCGGTCTCTGAGCCGGACTAAAATCAGATATCCTTCGAACCGTGCCGCGAACGGTGGAATGCGCAGCTCGGACGACTGCTTTCGCAAAGGCAGCGTTATCGGACACCGATCCGCGCGCCCCTCGAGCCACTTACGAACGAGAGGAACGGTTGAGCAATTTTCCTAAATATACACACCACCGGAGTTGCGTACAGTACAGTTTGATTTATGAAAATACTACATTTCATTGTCTAATTCGCAGGAACCGGAATTACGTAGAAATCTGCTCATTTTATGAAATATTCTATAAATCCGAAATATCCTTTATATCCTTCCCTTTCGAACAAATTAATCTAATTACCTGTGATTACTTACATTAATACATTCAGTAGAAAATATAAAATTGTCGGGGAAGAAAACTAGTGATTTCCTTTGGACAATCGGTTACAATTAATTCAACTGAAATTTCATGGTTCGAATTTTAATGCTTTTCCCATGAGAAGCAAGTAAATTCGAGTCTAGGGAATTCTTCCCGAAGCAATTCTAGTGGAGAAACGTGACGTACTCACTTTGGTATATCGCCGATCTTCGGTGGCCGACATTTTCGTGGAGGAACGTCTCCCCATATGTTGTACGCTGAAAAATAATAAAAAATAAAATCATTTCACGGTTTCATCGTTCATCGCTTCTTCTAATTTCCACTTTCTTCGTTCAACGCGAGCCGTTAGGCGTGCGAATCGTCGCACGCGAGCATTCCGCGTCGCTGAAAGCCGAGGCGAAGAATTGCAAATGGCGGACGGCCAGGCGTGAGGCTCGGATGTCGGCGCGGGAAATTAATGTTTCATTACCAGTGTTCCGTCTCGATTACTTTCATCGTACGTAACAGTTGTAATAGGATTAGGTAACGCGGTGCCTTCCAGCATCGGACCTTTTAATCAATTATCCTTTAACGTGGGCGATAACGTAATAATAGAGGCTCCCTGGTCTTCGGCGGATACGAAATGTGGAACGATACAATTATTAGGTCGTTATACGGGAGCTGGCTGTTCCGCTGATTGCCGAGTCCAATCGCGCTTTGCTGAATAACAATTATCGGGCCGGGCAATTAGCGATTCGGATTCTTTCATAATGAAAAGGCACGATCAATTTAAATTCAGAATATTCTTTGCTTCTTCTCTGCACTCCGTATTGCCGGGAGACCGATGTTATTCAATCTTTTCAATGTTTTTAATAATTGTTCCGTAATAAACGGTGTATGATTTATTTTGTTCACCTATTATTAATTCTTATTATAACATTTCCAACGGGAATGAAATTGAATTCATTGAGATCCACAAGATTTTCTGTGAGATTAACCGGATGCTCGCAGCGTTAGCGGTGAATTGTTACCGAAACATTGCCGTAATTTGCTAATTAGAAGGCCAGACTGTAATCGGAAGTTTCAACGGCAACAATCGTACGATAGCGAATGGGAAAAGCCTCAAATCTCCCATTTCCTACGAACAATACAACGGAAGGGGTGCGGGAAAATCGCGTACAGTGCGCAGAACTGCAAACTCGATTCAACCGAGGGCTAAGTGGCCGCCGGCGGAGCTGCGCTGCATCACCCGTTCACTCGTATATATCGGAAACGTTCAAAGGGTGAACTTTATAATTAGTAAATGCCTCTGAAGCCGTCCGATCGATGCGACGATTGCAAGATGCACAGACCGCGTAAAGAGATCACGGTTTCCCGGCTGTTTATTCGCAAAAGAAACTTACGAGGAAAATACATAAACAATGCAAGCAGTAAAACGTAAAAGAACATTCTTATTTATACTTCACTGAAATTATTACCGGACTTTAGAAACTTCTATTTAAAATGCACAATAAAAACTGCATCCTTTGTGTACACAGAACTTTTTAAACGCTTTATACTTCTACAACTTTGAATTTGTCAAACTTTTCTTAATCCTCGTTATATCTTCCTCAAAGCTATAAGCCTTCACTATCTTGCTCTCACACTCGTCAATCTCAATTAACATCGTTACGATCTACCATATTTAAGTTTCTATTCTGTCGAGTACATGCTTGAGTCGCTCAGAAGGCAATTTTCTGATTTTTGTAAATTTTAATCGGATCAATATCATTCTTTTTAGTTATTCAAAGATATATCTCCTATATATGTTTTGTAATTTCAAAAGCCACAACATTCATTTTTTCTTCTCTGGACTTAACCGCCAATTTTCTGATTTTTCTAAATTTTAATCGAATCAATATCATTCTTTTTAGTTATTCAAAGATATATCTCCTATATATGTTTTGTAATAATTTCAAAAGCCACAACTTTAATTTTCTCATTTTTTTCCGGACTTAACCGCATTAGCTTCTGAGCAACTCATCTGTCGAAGAAACGCGTTCCGCCCGCACAGAAGAAAAAACACGGATTAACCGATGATTATCGGCGCATCGATTAATCCGCTCATTAACAGCCGACGACGGATCGCCGATCAAAGGTCAAGAGTTTCTCCGACGGCGGCATCGACGCGTCAGTTGATTGGAAGTAATTCAATCATCAACGAGATCAGCCCCGCCATTAAAAAGGGACGACGGAAACCGACGGAAGTCGGTGAACCGGCTGAGCGCGACGGATCGAGACACGACTTTCCCTTTCAATCCGCCGCGACGGGATCGATCATGCCGATTCGGTGTGCCGGGGCGTCGTTGCTCTTATCGCGCCCCGGTAAACGCTGTTACTCCACCTGTTCGATAATTAATTGGAAGGTCGCGGCTGAATTGCTTCTTGTACCCGCGCGACAAGACGGAACCGGCGGTTTCTCGAGGTGAATTTACAGTATCGGGACAGAGGGCCATTTATCGACGAGGTAATCAGTATACCGGGTGTACAGGAATCGTAACGTATCATCATCATTCATTTTTCATTCTTTGAATAGTTCTGATTTCGCGGGAATATCGTTTTTGTAGCTTTTGAAGCAGCGAGGAGACAAGTTTGACTTTATTCGAATCATCGTTGAGCATACGCCATTCTTTGTGGTTGGGAACCTTTCTGTTATATATTTAAGGAATTTTAATATTGTATTTTTGACAAAGCTTTACGGTTTTTCAAGGGAACGTTGCTTGAACCCTTTGCGGGCGGATGTCGGCATTTCGGTGAGATGAAATGTTCAGATTTGGAAGATTAACACTAGATTTACGGACGTTTATTCTACACTTTATTCTATTGTTCCTAGAAAGTTACGTGCTCGTTCATATAAATCACGAAAGTTGTAGCTTTGAAACCAAAGTATTACAACGCGTACTCGTATGAATCGAAATAGACTTAAACTGTTACTAAATGATATTGAAAGAATTCGGTATCCGTCAAATTGACGGGTTCCGTAAATCTAGTCTTAAACAATGGACAAATGATGTAATTAGTGATACAGCAAGAGATCAGCACATAGTTTTCTCTTCTTATATTAATTAAGCAATTCATAATTTAGCTTCGTATGTTGAAGGTTTTGTATGTTTCGAAGAATCTTCGTCCGCAAAGGGTTAATAATAATTCCTAACGGGTTCAATAACATTGTTTTATCCTTTCATACTGTACCCGGAACGCCAGTGTATTTTCCACGGCCATATTCCCTCTCGAAACGGTAACATCAGTACAAAAAGGTATTAATTAGACAGAATGTGCCGTCGATTGTAGGTTTCCTTCCCAGTATCCCGTGTTTTTCCCCCGTAATTAAATCGTCCCGCGTGACGAGAATGTTTGTACCCATTTATTTCTCAGCGGACCGTGATAATTTCACGGTAGACGGCGTTCTAAAAAAATTGTCGGTGTCATTCAATTTGCATTTCGCGTGAGGCGGGTTCGAATGTCCGCGCCGGGCACGTCGCGAAGAAGAGCAAAACGCGGCCGCGGTTTCGAGGAAACATTTATACGCCATCGGCGGCGATTAATTAACGGCGCAGTGACGAAAGCTTCGAGCTTCGTAATTTCTAATTACAAGCAATCGATCGTGTCCGAGCCGCGCTTTCGTTGACACACTTTCGCCGGAACGGTTTAATTATTTCCGCGGATCCGCCGACGAAATTAACCGCGAGGCCGGAAACGGGGAATCTTCCATCCGCCGTAGTCTTTGTGAAAGAATATTTGATCGGAGCAAGGGAACAGAAGAAAGAGGGATTCGTCTCGAATCGATTTTCCACGGTTAATTCCGTTTCGATCGTTGTCCTGTAGCTTGAACCCTTCGCCTCATGATTTATTTCTATTTCTAACTAGGATCGATACTACTTTATCGTTAATAATGCATTGGTAACAGAAGAAACTGTGATGCTTATTCTACGTTCACATTTACTCCGAAGGTTAACGATTGATAATAGAAAAGTGATATTCAGTATATATTAACACTAGGTTTACGGGCATTTATTGTACACTTCATTCTATTATTCCTAAAAGAATTGATGCTCGTTTATTTAGATTGTAGAAACTGGAGATTTGATAGTAGGTAATTGGGATACATGTCAGTGTGATCGCATCAATCAAAATCGGCGTAAACATTTACAAAATAATATTTCTAAAATCCAATATACGTCAATTTGACGCGTTTCGTGAACCTAGTGTTAAAAGAATAATAATGAACGTTAGGATTTGTCAAATTTAGTTAGAAATTTTCATGCCGAGACCAACAGGATATTGTAGGTCAAGGGGTTCGCAGAACAAATAACGCACCGTTCGATTCAATCCCCTTTCAATTCGCCCTTTCAGTTACACTCGTTCGTTAATCGCGTTAAAAAACTTCTATCCCAGAAGCGAGCCTGCCGCGGTTCTGCGTCGTGGCGGAATTTTGTTAGCGCGTCGACGCGGCGACGATAATTAAACGATAATTAATCCCCGCAGTGGGATCGGTGACGATCGAATCTTTCACAATTTCACGGGCGAGCTGGTCCGCAGCGGTAAACGGTGAATTCAATGGGGAAAACTGGGCGGTGTATTCTTTATACGCTCCGCAGCGGCGAAGGCGTTCGTTAAATACCCTGTTCTCGCGGCGGAAATTCTACAACCGTCTTTTTTAATCCTCCCCTCGCCGCTGGGAAGGTAAACCGATTTGCATTTTGATAAAGGCTTTGTGCTCGGGATCATTCGCTTTGAAACGAATACTCCTTTGCGGAGAGACAATTTCTTTTTAAATGCGAGTGGAATCTGGACTCCGCACAGCCGCCATTTTGTCGCAATCTTGGTTCGCTGGGCCTCGGTTTAATTGATACGCGATCTGAAAGCTATCGATTTCTTCGCATCGAATGAAAGGCTTCACGAGCGAATTGTTTACGAAGGTTAATTATATCTTCCGTCTTTTGTATTATTTTTACACGAAGAAACGATTGCAATTTCTTGATAATGCACTGTTCGAAACAATGAAAAGAATGGTGAATAGCGTTCGTTAGCTTTCATGAAAAATGTTTCTGAAGATGAACGATATGTCGACCCTCCGAGCCAGGCATTCCCCTGAAGTAGTGCAATCGCTGTCCCAACAATTATTTTCCCATCGCGTTCAGGATCGATATCGTGTGTCACTGGAACGAGTCCAGAGCGGCGCGGCCGAAGTTAGCCGGCACCGGGTGTACTAGACTGAAAAGAGGATATGACCGAGATA